GCAGTCTAGTCACTACAAATTACTTAAATCATAAAAGTCGTGATAGTAATTTTGTACAATTTAGGAACAGTTTTACAGGAAATATGACTATAAAAATTAATCACGGTATTATTTTCAGGAAGATTCAATTATGTTTGCATAATTCTTATAGAGAGGTTTCCTATCTCTATCGAGAGAAAATTTCGTTACCTTATACTTCAACACTTATTAAAATTTAAATTGCTTTTATAATGCATGTTATAAGTTTCCTTTTTTATTTGAGTTACTAAGTTTATTCAATATTTTAACATCGATACTACCTCTGAAAGACAATGCAAAGATCTTTATAACAGCTGGGATACGTTAAATCCATGTTGATGGGCGATGAACTACATTAAAATAACAACGCAAGACCTTAACTCGACATTTTTATGTGAATTCTTTGTTAAACCTTGCAAATCATCAAAGATACTATCATATGTGTAATTATGTGGACCGTAACAGTGTGAATCACGTTTAGAAGGTCGTGAAATTATTTCAGACCTACAGTAAAGATAATATATTTTTTAACCGTGACCTCTTGATCCATGAGACAACCACCTCAAATATATTATTAAATCAATAAGTTGTCTTTAAGTCGCCGGAAGATGAAAGATCTTGTCTTTCTGTCGCGACTTATTTTTATTTAGAGATAATGCGGCCACTATGCAATATTGCAAACAACAATTATGAAGACTTCAAAGAACCTTGATTAGCCAATCAAACGTGACAGTCATGTGGAAGCTCGAGTATCAAATTGAAGGAGATAGTTTAATCGCAAAGAAATGAATATGAGAGGATATTATGCATCGAGCGTTGATCGTTTTATTGTTTTGTCTATATACGATAGTTTTGTGCTATCAGTGATTAGATTTTCTTGAATTGATTAAAAATCAAGGTTGATGACTCTTTTTCCGGTCGTCTCTTTAGATGAAAATAATTAAACGTACTATATTAGAGGTCATCAACTTCAACAACTTTTCAAACAATTACACATAACAAGGTCTCTGATGAAAATTAAATAACGGCGCAACAGGAAAACGGTCTTTAAAGTTTGAAAGTAAAAGCTAACTCTATCAGTTCACGTTAAAGGTCTCCTGGAATGATATTCACCTGTTTTACATGACAATTTAAAATTTGTCTAACGAAAGTAAGACATAAAATTCAATAAAAAAAAAAGGTGACACTACTGAACACGATATTTTGAGTTACAAGTTGAGTGACAGAGAAAGTTCTTGTTCCATTGGAAAGTTTCGACGACAAAGCTTCACTTGGCAAAAATTACGTAAACCATCTCTATCACGACTTGTTAAGGACTGTCCATGTTTTGCTGTTAATCAGCAGTAAAGTCACGACCCATCTGAGCAGCAGATGTACTTAATTTTGCTGAATATGACAGGGCGTGTACCAAGTTTGCATTTAGTATGAACCCGGCTACATGCAGAAGAGCCGGTTTTCGAGATGCCAGGATGTCCGTGAACTTGAGCGAATTGAAAATTCAGAACCTGTTTCGAAAGTCTTCGTCGGTTTACGTGTAGGTGAGGAAGATTTGTCGTTCGTTTCATTGCCACCTCGGCTGTTGCCATTGCGTAAGGAAATGAATCTGAACTGGATAAGCAACAACAAACCCATAAAAGGAAGGAAAGCGTTTGTAAAAATTTCCTCAATTAACTTGGTTGAGAGGAGTTTGTTTAAAATTCTTATTAATTATCGGCGAGGTGCTGATTTTATTTGTTGTGTTGGGCAATCACTGCGCATTTACTGAGTGATGCCGGCAAATTTTGTTACAGTCCGAATCTGCGGTGACGCAAAAATAAATTAAATTGTACGATTCCACTAGACGAACTCAAATTGACGGAAAATAAACAGTTGGATGGATATTAAGTGCGTATGAAACATTTTGTGGAAAATATTTTCGCACATTTTAATGAATTGTTACGTCGAAGTTTCGTCTTGGAAAGTTTTTCTCCGATAATGTTGTTGTAATCAATTAGTTTCCCCTACTAATTTTCCTTCGGACAAAATTAGCGTTGATTTATCCTCCAAAAAGTTGATACAATGGTGGTAGTAACAGTTACTTTTTATCAAAACAAAAATTCAGTTAGTGTCAAAATAAACGTTTGGAAAAACAACTGCTAATTTACAAAAATTTAGAAATAAATAAATAAAAATAATTTGAACAAATGTTTAATATCATGTTTTGTATATTATATGTTCCATCATCTTCCGTTTGTAACACGATAATTAAAATTTAAACTTTATCCCCTGTGAAAGATTGTTGACGTCACTTCAAAAATATCATTAAATAATACTCAAACGAAACGTACAGCGTGACCTTTGTCAATGACATAACCTGACCTGACCTGTGATACAGGGTTAAAATTTACTCGTACTTTACACATACACGCCATTCTAAAAGGAATAAAAATTGTATGGTAGGTAGGGTTCTTTGAAATTTTGGTAACATACCAGCATTGTTTCGAATATTGATTAATTTCTTCCTATATACCGGGTGTTCAGCTGAAAAAATCATCAAGTTGGTCTTAATTTTTTGTAAACATTGTGAAGTATCTCTATAATAAAGCTAAAATTTAATTGATAACGCTAACAACTTTGTCAGATGTCAATTATACACAACATTATATAGTATGGATTAATAACACATGTTTTAGCTACGTTTTCTTATATCACAAATGAAACGCCAACTTGATGACTTTTTCAATTCAACGTAATATATTTGAAACAGGTAACCAAAGGCTAATTCGACTATTAGCACGTTCTGATAACAAGCATCTGCATTAAAGGAAAATGGATTTTGATTGATTTTGTCTCCTCAAAGCAGAGGAGAAGACTGATTTAATTACAATGGAGCAAACCGGGCCAAATATATTTTTGGGGGAGTCACAAGAAATTTGCTACAAAGAATTAAATGTGGTAATAACTTTTCTTAAAATTAGCGTTACTTAAAAAATTACAAAAATTATGTTGCAATTTAAAAAGAACATAGGTATACGTCGAACGCCGCGTCATATTTGTAGTGTACGAGTTCAAGCTAAAAACGTTTAATAGCGACTACAGAATTTCAATATCTCTATTCGTTCTCAAGATATAAGGAATTTTAACTAGGGCACCTGTATAACTAAAAAATTAACGCTAACATATGTTTAAAGTATATACATATGTATGTATAAGCAAAATTTAAAAATGACGTCATTACCTTAGTGGTGGGGATAATAGATAAACTTTGGTTAGCGTTTTTTGAGAAATTGTCTATCTGATAAAATATCGACATAGACGACAGACGACAGATCGACGATAGATAGACGACAGACAGACGACAGACAGAACACAGACAGACCACAGACAGACCACAGACAGACGACAGACAGCTTACGCCCAACAAGTTAAAAATTCCACACTGATCTGAGTTTGAAATTCACTTTTTTATGAAATTTTCTGAATATGTTAAGTTTTTAATTTGTGTACATTGTAGATACCAGTATTAACATATTTATACGTTGTTGTCATCTTAATAAATATGAAATCAATCTAGAAAATTAGAAAAATAAAAATTAGTATATCATATTATTTTCTGTCGCAAGATCTGTATGAGTAGTATTCACGAATATTCAATTTCTGATCTTGCCGCTTTCTACAGCGCGTAGAACACGAAAATGCAGGTCTCTTGTTCCTACTTGTCTGTCAAAATGTTAATTTAAAGTTGCCTCTCAGTTCCCTCCAAAGCGCTGACGATGTTGCGTCAATTTTTTTTTCTGAATTAAATCTACTTATATTGTTTGCCAATCTTCTTATAAAATTACACACATTTTTTTTTATTTATACAATTCAGAATTTACAATTTACAAACTTGTACAACATATTATTTTGTTAATATACATTAATTTAGGGATATAAACAGTAAATTAAAGTTCATTCATTCCTCTCCCCGTAAAGTTGATGACGTTATCTCGTGTTATGATGAACATATTTTTACTGAAAAATACGCTTTGGAATGTAGTACTACTTGTGTTTTCTAATTATTTTGTCTTTTTAAAATTGCGTATACAGAGTGTCTCAAAATCAATGAAGCCTAAAACGACTTATGTTATCGGTACTCTCAGAACAGTTTCGTATACTTATTTCTGAAAATCTTCGTTCTACATAGTTAGTAATGTTATGATTGGTGTTCCATTGTACTTATGTGACAAAATTATTACATGTATTTAAACCGATCAAAAAATTGATGATTTCAAAAATAAGTAAGAAAATCCTTATTGGAGAATACTTCTTGATTACCCTGCTTTATTCTTACAATTTTATTTTAATGAGTTGTTTACAAATATTTTGCATCCTAGAGGCTTCCGTTCGCACATCCTTTATGGTGTTTAATAGACACAGGTACCTAGTTGTTTCCTTTGTATGTAAGTGGGTAATTTAGCCATTGTTTACTAAATCCATGTAAGAATAGCAATTTAACTACCTAAAATGACCCAAGTTCATTATCCATATCAAAATCTCTTCACAGAACAAACGCTTCTACAAATACATTACGGTTATTATTTCGCGTAAAATTTATAGCAGAGATAAAAGAATTTCTTTCTCATTCCATTTTCTTTTAGTTGGATTCCAATGCAGCATAAACTCTTGTGTTACTTTTTAAATCGAGTAAGAAACCATTCATTACAAAAAAGGTTTTTTAAAAGAATTTTCCACAAATAAAGCGAAAAAATAAAGCACATGTCAACTAACTTGTTGATTTAGTCAACGGTAGTTATATTTTATCGTCACTTTATCTAGACGTTATAACAATAAAATTCATTCCTACCTTCCAGATAAAATCCTCGGTAGTCGTATTTATCTTTAAAATGTAGATTTCGTAGAAAAACGCTCTAAACTGTAAAAATTGTTAAGGTTAATATGAAGTAATAATTTATTTCTTATTCTACATTGTATTGCACTTACTCCACAGTATGTTATTATTACGATATATCTTTATAAAACGTGAAGACCTTTTGAACACATTGCGTAAAAATGAAAGCACGTACGCGACTTGACCTCATACTTTACACATCAAAATGTGTTTGTCATAAAGGCCTAGTTTGTCTTTTAAATAGATCATCGTCGATGTCGTCAATATCCGCCGCATCCGTGTACCCGGAATCGTCATATCTCGACCGATCTGGTGTTCTCGTGCATCTACTTCCCGCCGTAGGACTCCGAGTCGCTAATCTCAGCACCGGATCATCGTATCTCCTCGAAACCAGCGTAAAATCATGATGTGCATCCACCAGTTTCTGCAACCGCGAAATTAATTCGTAATCCGGCATCGGCAGTGCAACACCGAGAATCTTCGCCACGGATCCCTTGAAGCTCTGCAACTGCGCCTCGCGCCGTTGCACTTCCGACAAATTGTCTTTGACACGAGCTAATTCGTCTCGAAGAAGTTGCAAAGAATGTTCACTTATATTGCGCTCTTGTTCGATTGTTTCGCCCGTTGTTCGTACTTGGTCTTTGAGCAGAGTCACTTTTCGGTTGTACTTTGTGCGCAAAGTTTCCGATTCAATTAAGCGTTTTTGTAGGTCGTCAATTTTGCGACCTCGTTCAAGGGCAGTGATCTAAAAAAGAGGATGTGGAGAAGTTGGATTGTCGAAGGTGGTGCAAACCTTGTAATCCGCAGCTTCGGACAGCTGAGAATTTAAATCTCTTATCTGAGATTTGGCATCTGATAGTTGCATTTGAAGTCTGTCAACTTGCTTGACTAACTTCTTGACGCGCATATTGGCTTCGTCGCGCTCGTTTTGGAGAAGGCACTTTGTTTTAATATTGTCCTCTTGTAAAGCTAGTTTACGTCGCAGGAGGTCGAGATGGAGATCTTTTCTTTGAACTTGTTCCCGGAGAGTTCGCACTCTTCTTTGCAGCTGGTACACTAGAGCAGTCTGAAAAAACAAAGTTGAAATAAATAGTCCAGTCAAAACGGAGTTGGAAAATAGACAACGGTGTATTTTGAGTAGGCAGCGATTTTTTTTGTTTTTGGGTTTAGTAGTGAGCTTTCGTGGCTAGGAGTGTTGTCATTCAGCCGCCATCTTAAAAATGGAGCTGCGGTAGAGTCCGTTAAATCATGTACTTCATGTTTTCAAAAGTTTAATGCCTTATCCTAAAGGACTAATGGTTTTGTGAATCGGACGTCGTTGACCAATATATATTATAAAAAAAATCCAGGTACTACTTCCAAATATCTCTTTAATTATTTATTTTCAAGTGATATTTCCTCGTCAAAGAATAAACTGAATTAGTTGTAATTGTTCTAAAGCTGTCTTAAACAGAATTGATTTTATAGTAGATGTTTGATTCATAGAAATTTTATTTCTTTGAGGCAAGCAATTGAAAAGAAGATCGGGAGATGATTTTAGGCGGTTTACTGAGGGCATCTAGTAAACATTTTTGGAAACGCAGGCAATGTTCACTATTTCCCGGACTCACTCATTATTTTTATTTCCCAAAAGAAGTATTGTCATAGGATCAATCCAGCGATTGACTACTTTCTTTTTTTTCTCTGCGTCGATTTTTGTTAGACAGATAATCTCCGAAACTACCGAATCAATTATTGTCTGATCTGATATATGATATAATATGATGCGAAATGATTTATTGATCCAGAAAATTTACATTTTTCCAGGCAAGTCATAAAACCTTGGCTTAATGAAACGTAATTAGAAAAGCTTTTGAACAATTAGCGGAAATTCGTTATCACTATACAAAGAACCAAAAAGTCCTTCGAAGTATGTATGTTAGTAATATACAATATAGTAATAAATTTTGTGTGGTAAATGGTATTTATATTTTACAAAATAACGTGCTCCTGTACTTGTGATTCATGAATCCGCATTAAATTTCAACCTAGGCATCTTTTCAGCAAAAGAATCAAAATTGTATAATATCAGATTAAATTTTTAAAGGAATTCCGTAACTGCGAGTTTGACAAAAATTTTTGGTGGTACAATTATCTGTTTATTCACACCTTTTATCAATACATTTTCAAAGTGATGCTATTATTAACGGAACCCATAATTTTTTATGACTAAAAAGGTTATGCGCATAAAGTGAAAAACTAAAAGTTAAAAAAATTTGGGATGAAGTAACCATTGCATTTTCATTCTCCTCTGCCATTATTTTACTTCCACAAGGAAGTATTGTAATAGGACTTATCAGGTGAATGACTACTTTTATGTTTTCTAGAAAAAATAGTTCTCCGGTTCCCGTCTGTTTGTCTCTCTGTCTCTCTGTCTACCTGTCCGCCATCTGTCCGGATTTTTATTACTCAAATAATTTCCGAAACTACTAGACCAATTGTTCAAATTTTATATATGTATTAGGAATATCGAATAAACGTTAAATAAAATTTGGCTAATCATCCCCACCAACAATAGGTCGACATCATCTCTAAAATTTATATTCGTAATTATTATTTAATTCTAGACATCTAGATTTTTTGAAAAAAAATCAAAAGTTTATAACATTTTACAATTTAAATTAGAACCTACAAAACCGAATGCTCTGAAATCTTCCAAATGTTTTTAAGGTTATCGTAGGCACCATAAATTGTTAATCAAAATTTTTTCGTTCACGGCCTTTTCAAAAAAACTATGACGTCATCCTACAATTCTGTGTTCTTTAAATTTTACTTTTGGCTTTCACATTTTTTCGAAAAAATCGAACTTATACAACAATATTTTACAATTTAACTTTGAAATTGCCAAAACCGAATGCTGTGAAATCTTGCAAATATTTTGAGGTTATTGGAAGTATGATAAATCGTTAATCAAAATTTTCCGTCAGGTTCTTCAAATTTGTTAGAGTTTTGGGGAAAAAACTGAGTTAATGAATCAGTTATCTTCCCTGCGTTGAGGAGATGAAATCAATTAAATTTCATTTTCTTTTAATTGCTGATGCTTGTAATCTGAACGTGCTAATAGTCGAATTCTTTTAAAGTATATAAACATAAACAGTCGAAGTTAGGCATGTGCTGAGAAATTGACAACATCTACATTTTTCCCGTTGGTTATCTCAGTTATCTGTTTTAAATGCATTTCATATTGTCCACACTTGTGCGGGCCGCGCCCCCTTGGAATTTGCATCCCCGCAGGGGCTGCGCGGTTATTAATTACGTCACTGGTTTTAACTTTATACAGGTTATGAAATTTTATAATTAAAAAAAATGGAATTTGTCGGCCTATACTTCAAGGGCGAGGGAAGCTCTGTCAAAATAACCTTCGACCCATTTTTTCTGAAATAGAATCAAACAGACCCAAATTTAAAAAATTGGTCTAAAGAGTTTAGACAGTACTTCCCTCGCTGTCGGAAACTTGACGACTGCATGGCTATTGTGTTTTTTTCTCATTACATTTTTGTAGTGGGAATTTAAAATTGCGATGACGTCATCAACATTTTTGCAAGGACACGGATATCAGTTGGGATAGATGTAGTGTAATACTAAGAATAAAATTATTGTATTCCCAAATTTTCAGGAAAATGAATTGGGTCGTTTTGAATATTGATTTTTTATAATCAATAAAATAACGAAACAATTTACTCACCTATACGGCAACTGAAAATCGTTTATGTATAAACATTCTTAATTTAAGATGACAAGCGTAACAGCATACGTGAGAGCCAAACAGAGAAACTGTAAACAAAACGACCATCGGTTTTATTGCTTCGACTTCCGCTTATTATATAAAACATTGGGTTTTATTTTAATTCTTGACGGTGAAATTCAGAATTGGTTGATTATAAACATGTCTATTTCACATTCGCGGAACCAAGTGAACAAATGCAGGTCTGTAATGTTAAAGTCGATGTAAATAAGCGTGCTACCCTTATGTTTCAACCGAGTTTTTCCTTTAACAAATTTTGTGTCTACCAAATTGGGTTGGTTGGGGTGTAATACTAATAATAAGTGTTGCCTTTAATTTAATCAATAAAATAAATTGACTTCATTAATTTTTTTTGAACCACCTCTTAAGAAAATCTAAAAAATATGAATGGAATGATAAATCACAAGTACAAACTCATCATATTTTTTGCATTTTAGATAGGATTTATTCAGCAAAATTTAAGGGTGACGTCATCAATTTTTTTAGGAGGGATGAACAAATACATTTTGAACAAAAGTTTACCATGCTTATAATAACTTTAAAATATTCCCAAGATTTCAAAGCATTCGGTTTTCTAATTCCTGATTAAATCGATAAAATAAATTCACGCCTTCATTAATTTTTTTGAGTCACCCTGCATATGCAAATCCAAAAATATGATTGGAATGATAAATCACAAGTACAGACTCATCATATTTTGTACATTTTAGATACGATTTTTTCGGCAAACTTTTGAGCTGACGTCATCAGTTTTTTGTAGAAGATAACCAAATATATTTTGACTAAAAATTTATTATGCTCTTTATAACCTTAAAACATCTGCAAGATTTCAAAGCATTCGGTTTTGTAGTTCCTGATTAAATCAATAAAATAAATTTACGCATTCATTAATTTTTTTGAGTCACCCTGTATATGCAAATCGAAAAAATTTGAATGGAATGATAAATCACAAGAAGAGACTCACCATATTTTGTACATTTTAGATAAGATTTTTTCAGCAAAATTTTGTGGTGACATCATAAATTTTTTAGGGGGGACGACCAAATGCGTTTTGATCAAAAATTTACCATGCTTATGATAATTTTAAAATATCTTCAAGATTTCGAAGCATTCGGTTTTGTAGTTCCTGAGTAAATCAGTAAAATAAATTTACGCTTTCATTTATTTTCTTGAATCGCCCTGTATATGCAAATCCAAAAAATATGAATGGAGTGATAGATCACAAGTACAGACTGATCATATTTTGTACATTTTAGATATGATTTATTCGGCAAATTTTCGAGCTGACGTCATCAAGTTTTTGGAGGGGATAAGCAAATATATTTTGACTAAACATTTATTATGCTCTTTATAACCTTAAAACATCTGCAAGATGTCAGAGCATTCCGTTTTGTAGTTCCTGATTAAATCAATAAAATATATTTACGCATTCATTAATTTTTTTGAGTCACTGTATATGCAAATCCAAAAAATATGAATGGAGTGATAAATGACAAGTACAGCCTCATCATATTTTGTACATTTTAGATATGATTTATTCGGCAAACTTTCGAGCTGACGTCATCAAGTTTTTGGAGGGGATAAGCAAATATATTTTGACTAAACATTTATTATGCTCTTTATGACCTTAAAACATCTGCAAGATTTCAGAGCATTCGGTTTTGTAGTTCCTGATTAAATCAATAAAATATATTTACGCATTCATTAATTTTTTTGAGTCACCCTGTATATGCAAATCCAAAAAATATGAATGGAGTGATAGATCACAAGTACAGACTCATCATATTTTGTACATTTTAGATATGATTCATTCCACAAACTTTTGAGCTGACGTCATCAAGTTTTTGGAGGGGATAAGCAAAGATTTTTTGACTAAAGATTTATGATGCTCTTTATAGCCTTAAAACATCTGCAACAATTCAAAGCATTCTGGTTAGCAGATTAAAAATTAAATTTCAAAATGTTGTTTTATAATTTTGATTTTTTTTTCAAAAATCTGGACGTTTCGGGTGAAAAGTCGATTCAGAGTTGTAAACTACATGTGTAGGACTATGTTATTTTATACAATTGAAAACCCATTTACTATGTACAATTTTGAAGTGACGTCATCGCATTAGTGGTGGGGATGATTAGACAAATTTTGGTTAGCGTTTTACCATCTACATGATATTCTTAATATAAGTACAAAATTTCACAACAATCGGTCGAGTACTTTCGGCGATTATCTGTCTAATAAAAATCCGGGACAACAGACGGACAGACGGACAGACGGACAGACGGACAGACGGACAGACGGACGGACAGACGGACAGACGGACAGACGGACAGACAGACGGAAATGGGAGACCTATTTCTTCGTCTTCTAGGGGTCATGAAAGATCGAGAAAACGTAAAAGTAGAGAGTCGGCCGACGGACTCGATTACAATACTTCCTTTGCTTACGCTCGGGAAGTAAAAAATATATAATTTTATTGGGGATAAAAGGATAAAGTTTGATGAACGATTTACCGGACTTACGATAAAACATTTGCAAGATTTCTGCAGTTTCAAAGTTAAATAGTAACATATTATTCTACAGTCTTGATTTTTACTTCCCGAGCGTAAGCAAAGGAAGTATTGTAATCGAGTCCGTCGGCCGACTGTCTACTTTTACGTTTTCTCGATCTTTCATGACCCCTAGAAGACGAAGAAATAGGTCTCCCATTTCCGTCTGTCTGTCCGTCTGTCCGTCCGTCTGTCCGTCTGTCCGTCTGTCCGTCTGTTGTCCCGGATTTTTATTAGACAGATAATCTCCGAAAGTACTCGACCGATTGTTGTGAAATTTTGTACTTATATTAAGAATATCATGTAGATGGTAGAACGCTAACCAAAATTTGTCTAATCATCCCCACCACTAATGCGATGACGTCACTTCAAAATTGTACATAGTAAATGGGTTTTCAATTGTATAAAATAACATAGTCCTACACATGTAGTTTACAACTCTGAATCGACTTTTCACCCGAAACGTCCAGATTTTTGGAAAAAAAATCAAAATTATAAAACAACATTTTGAAATTTATTTTTAATCTGCTAACCAGAATGCTTTGAAATGTTGCAGATGTTTTAAGGCTATAAAGAGCATCATAAATCTTTAGTCAAAAAATATTTGCTTATCCCCTCCAAAAACTTGATGACGTCAGCTCAAAAGTTTGTGGAATAAATCATATCTAAAATGTACAAAATATGATGAGTCTGTACTTGTGATCTATCACTCCATTCATATTTTTTGGATTTGCATATACAGGTGACCCAAAAAAATTAATGAATGCGTAAATTTATTTTACTGATTTACTCAGAAACTACAAAACCGAATGCTTTAAAATCTTGCAGATGTTTTAAGGTCATAAAGAGCATAATAAATGTTTAGTCAAAATATATTTGCTTATCCCCTCCAAAAACTTGATGACGTCAGCTCGAAAGTTTGCCGAATAAATCATATCTAAAATGTACAAAATATGATGAGTCTGTACTTGTGATCTATCACTCCATTCATATTTTTTGGATTTGCATATACAGGGTGATTCAAGAGAATAAATTAGAGCGTAAATTTATTTTACTGATTTACTCAGGAACTACAAAACCGAATGCTTCGAAATCTTGAAGATATTTTAAAATTATCATAAGCATAGTAAATTTTTGATCAAAATGTATTTGGTCGTCCCCCCTAAAAAATTTATGACATCACCACAAAATTTTGCTGAATAAATCCTATCTAAAATGTACAAAATATGGTGAGTCTCTTCTTGTGATTTATCATTCCATTCAAATTTTTTCGATTTGCATATACAGGGTGACTCAAAAAAATTAATGAATGCGTAAATTTATTTTATTGATTTAATCAGGAACTACAAAACCGAATGCTTTGAAATCTTGCAGATGTTTTAAGGTTATAAAGAGCATACTAAATTTTTAGTCTAAATATATTTGGTTATCTTCTACAAAAAACTGATGACGTCAGCTCAAAAGTTTGCCGAATAAATCGTATCTAAAATGTACAAAATATGATGAGTCTGTACTTGTGATTTATCATTCCATTCGTATTTTTGGATTTGCATATGCAGGGTGACTCAAAAAAATTAATGAAGGCGTGAATTTATTTTATCGATTTAATTAGGAATTACAAAACCGAATGCTTTGAAATCTTGGGAATATTTTAAAGTTATTATAAGCATGGTAAACTTTTGTTCAAAATGTATTTGTTCATCCCTCCTAAAAAAATTGATGACGTCACCCTTAAATTTTGCTGAATAAATCCTATCTAAAATGCAAAAAATATGATGAGTTTGTACTTGTGATTTATCATTCCATTCATATTTTTTAGATTTTCTTAAGAGGTGGTTCAAAAAAATTAATGAAGTCAATTTATTTTATTGATTAAATTAAAGGCAACACTTATTATTAGTATTACACCTCAACCAACCCAATTTGGTAGACACAAAATTTGTTAAAGGAAAAACTCGGTTGAAACATAAGGGTAGCGCGCTTATTTACATCGACTTTAACATTACAGACCTGCATTTGTTTTATGCGATCACTTGGTTCCGCGAATGTGAAATAGACATGTTTATAATCAACCAATTGTGAATTTCACCGTCAAGAATTAAAATAAAACCCAATGTTTTATATAATAAGCGGAAGTCGAAGCAATAAAACCGATGGTCGTTTTGTTTACAGTTTCTCTGTTTGACTCTCACGTATGCTGTTACGCCTGTCATCTTAAATTAAGAATGTTTATGCATACACGATTTTCAGTTGCCTCTGATACGTATACGTGAGTAAATTGTTTCGTTATTTTATTGATTATAAAAAATCAATATTCAAAACGACCCAATTCATTTTTCCGAAAATTTGGGAATACAATAATTTTATTCTTAGTATTACACTACATCTATCCCAACTGATATACGTGTCCTTGCAAAAATGTTGACGTCATCGCAATTTTTTTTAAATTCCCACTACAAAAATGTAATGAGAAAAAAACACAATAGCCATGCAGTCGTCAAGTTTCCGACAGCGAGGGAAGTACTGTCTAAACTCTTTAGACCAATTTTTTTCCAAGCATCTGAATGTCTAGGGTAAAAATCAAGACAGATTTATAAAACGAAATGTGCAGGAATGTGTTATTTTATAAAATTTAAATAACCTTTACTATGCAAAATTCAGACGTAACGTCATCATAGGGATCATTGGAAAAATTTTGGTTAGCGTTTGACTATCTACACGATATCGGTCTAATAAATATCGACACAAACGATAGATGACACGTAGACGACATACGGAAGGCGAAAACGGGAGATCTATTTTTCCATAGTCTAGGGGTCACAGAACGTCGCGAAAACATGAAAGTAGCCATTCGCCAGAGAGGCCCTATTACAATACTTAAAATACTGTAGTTGGAAAATGCAGTGCATTGATGGAAATATTTAAAACTTCTACAATAAAATTCTGGCATTAAACAAAATCTCAAAGGAAATTTTGAAAATAAGTATATCTATCCCATGAAAAAAATATTAAAAATATTCACTTCTTTTTTTTTTTCAATAAATCCTCAAAATGTAATATCTCAATGATTAACAGATTTATTGTCATGAAATTTTAGATGACTGTTCACAATTTCCTTTATATAATGTAGTGGCAATTTTTTTAAACATTTTATCATCACGTATCTTTAAAAATCAATATCGTAATTATTTAGGGAAATTTCGGAACGCGGTTTTCATGACTGTTTTCAAGTAAAAAGTTCTATAAATCGTAAGAAAATACAATGTATATTATCTACAAAATAAAGGTTACTAGAAAAATCAAAACAATGACTATCCGGATTTTCAAAACGGCGACCAAATGATAAAATCCCTAGTCCCGGAAACTTAGTTTTACACTCTACGAGACTTAAAAAAAATTTGCTGCCCACCCAAAATGCACGGTCTCATAATTCTCATACCGGATTGTCTATACTAAAATTCGAACAAAGGGAGCGATTTGTGTTAAAGCTAAAGGTTGAGTGGAGCGCTTTGCAAAAATCTATTTTTAAGAATGAGTGAAATGTGCTCTACAAAGGTCTTACTTCGCGTAACGGTATGTCATGACAAGTTCGTTCACGACGTAGCCGGGGCAAAGTCCCGTATCCACAGCAAAGCAGCTACCACACAAAACAAATTATTTGATGAATTTCGACCCTGGATTGGTAATTACCTTATCCACAAGCTTATCGCTTTCTAGCCTTGCCAGTTGTTCGGCCCGGAGCAGTAACGACTCCGTATGAAGATCCACTCCGATGTCGTGCGATATCTCATCCATGTTTAAAGCTCTGGCCAATCGATCCAAGAAATTCATAAACTAAAACGTCAACTCTAAAAATATATTCTTTTAGATATTGGTTTTATCTCACGGTGCTTTTGTCTCTTTTCAAGCCGTCCCTCGAAAGCTCGCATGTACTAATTTCGGCGTCAGCTTTGTGCAGTCTAGCTTCCAAATGATTCTTTTCATCTTCGAGAACACGAATCCGTGAGTTTGCTTGATCATAAAGCGAGATTTGGCGTGATAACTGCTGAGTCTCGTGGTTTAATTTGTCTTTCAAAGACTCGATTTGCTGCAAATTTAAATGAGACAAGTTTTAACTCCCGCAATCAAATCCTACCGCCTCTTTTTCTTTGTTCTCGGTTAAAATATCCCTGATCCGATCCTTAATAGTGGCTTCCAAAGCCTCCACGAAACGTGACGGCGTACTTAAAAGAATCGCCAGCGATTCCAAAGTGTGTCTATTTTCACTCTGCAACCTCTGACTTTTCTCTTCCCTGATTTTCAATTCGTCTGTAAAACTTTTTTATACCTGTCCAAACTAAACCGAAATAACGTTACCTCTAAGTTGGCAAATTTGACTTTCTTGTTGCGCTATATTTCCGCTAGCTGAACCTAAGCTTCTGTTCGAAAACGCCAGTTTTTCTTTTAGTTCGGTTAAATCTCTTTCGAGAACACGCTGCTGCATTTCGAGCGATTCTTTTTCCTGGCGCAGGCGATCGATTTCTAAAACCTGTGCCGCCGATTGCCTTTGTAAACATTCTTTGTCTGCTATCGTCCTATCTAAATTTTCTCTACAGTTCCGCAAATCTAATTCGCTAGCGGCTAAATTATCTTGTATATTATTAGAGCGATTTCTTAACCGTGAAGTTTCCTAAAATATTCGAAAAATACGATTAAGTCGAGCAAGTGCGGTAAACTATATCGAAATACCTGAACCAGTTCTGAAGTTTTATGCACAACTGATTCCGGCGTTAAATGAGCAGTTTCGGCCAAATCTAACCCCAAAGCCACGGAAAGACGCCTTATCAAATCCTGCAACTGTAATCTAGCCGAATCTTTCTTCTGTTCTTCGGCATTCAAATCTAACTCTAAATTTCTAACTTTCTTCTCTAATTCTTTGGCTTTGTCGTCATGGTAGCGATTATCTCTTTGCAAAGTCTGTAGCGCAATCTCGCTTCGACCTTGAGCCGCGAAGAGATTTCGTTCTCTTTCTTCTAATTCGTGGATGCGTTTCTTCAATGAAGATATAACAGCGTTTTGTCTTGCCGCTTGTTCTCGAAGCTGGTCTGCTTCCACTTGCAGGTCTAAACATCTTTGCTCGCGACTCCTCATCTGGCTTTTCATTTCAGCCAACTCTGCAGTCAGACGATCTCTTTTGTACTGAAGAGCAGCAAGTTCACTACGTAGAGTCGTCGTGACATCGACTTCGGGATCTTCCATCTACCAAAGATGCAGATTTTGTTACAATTATGGATTTGATTTACTTAGATTGGAAAGAATACCTACCTACTCCATGTCAGCAGTGTTTAAAATCTACTGAACGCGTGCAACAAAATTCCGTGATAGTAACGCATAACAGCCTATAGATACCGCAGTTTGATGATCAATCTAGCAAAACAGGGACAGACTGCGCACGAAGGACGAAATTTCCTTGCATTTATATAAATCAATCCTTTATATTAAAATCTCTTGTTCTTTTAACGGGTGAAAGAGAGTTGGAATCTTGTATTTATGTTCACAGCTTTTGAAAGTATTTTTTTTCAGACAAAAAAAATCGTCAATGGTGAATACAAATTTAAATAAAAAGTCCCCTCGCAGATTGTTGCATTAAGAAAATTGACCCAAATTGATGAAACTATTCTTATACAAAATCGATGATGACAGGAATAGAGCAACCATTATTTTTGGTACCATCTAACGAATGATCCTTTAGGGGTCATGTGAAATGAATTTAATTTTCATTACTTTAAACAGAGAGCGACCGAATAAAAATAGCTCTTGTGTTTACTTGACGACTGCACGCAAGGACTAAGTGAAAAGTAAATCGATGGTGCAATTTGCAAGTGCTGGGTTAGATAATGGTAATACTTGTAGCGAAAATGTTTTTTATACGCACGTGGCATCATTGTTAAGTAAAAAATATGCAAATGGATGTTTCACCGAATAGAAAAAAACACAACAGTTTAAGTTATTAGTTTCTTTTTTTATATACATAAATTTAAATATTTGTGATACTTGTAGCCTGCGGCACCTAACTAATAATTTATCTACCACAGCACTAAAAATACGTTGTTTAAATACTCACAACGTTATCTTTGCAAAGTATTTCAAATATTTGCCAATCTTCTTCGGTATTCCCAGATGCAACAGATTCAGGAGGTGCAGCCATAATCACTCGTTTCACGTAAATTATCCATATATTTTTAATACACTTAATTTGATTTGTTGGTCCCTTATGACTAATTTCTTTGTGTACAGTAAATTTAAAAAGCTCTGTTTACAGTAACTGAACAATACAGTGGTGAATTCACGCCATCTGTGGCCGTATAATCGATATAACCAAGGAGTTGGTGAAAAGGGGAAAATTAAGGTAGACCGCAAATAATAGCCATATACTACTACCACTTTTATTTCAAACGAACTATTTTCTTACATCTAACTTTATCAAGGTGTGACCTGATTCAACTAGTCCCACAGCGAGTAAAATTGAAGTGATTCCAAGAAGAATGCGGTCACCAAGACCACCCTTCAGATACACTGGAACTCCATCCTCTCTTTGAAATTTTTCGTAGTTACGTCTCAGATTTTCAGGTAGTCCATTGGAATACATTCTTTTGAGACCAAACTAAAATTTAAAATGTTGTGGTAAAACTACACACGTTTTTTGTAGCTGAGAATTGGTGGTTTACCTTATTTGGTTTAAATACCCCAAGAACACTAAGTAACTTCGACGTCATGATGTAAGCACTTATCTGTAACTTCGGGCGCAAGTAAGTAATTAGGTTTGATCACATTTGTAACCGTGCCAGATCTATTTTCAATTAAAAGCAATGAAAGAAATATTTGGCAGTTAATTAATTATAGAAAGCATGATGCGATTCGAACACGCTTGAGTCCTAGAACGAATTAAGTCGAATTTCATTCTAAAATTAAGAATTTTTTTATTGTTATTTTTATTTGAAGCAACCTAGTACGCTTGTTTTTCTTTCAATATGAGTATGGCTTGAATTTAATTAAGTCGTACGTATATGGAATCTTTCTAGATATATCCAGTCACTTCCAGTCATTTATGCGAAAACGGTATTATACCTATATATATATTAATTTCCCATTAACAGATATCTACTTTTTAATTTATAATCCTCTATAAATTTAAAGTATTATCAGAAATTCATTGTTATAGGACGTTCACACTAAAACAACTGATAAATTTTTTGTTATTTTTGATTTTATAAACATGTGAATGATTCATTTCAACTGAATTCTGCAAAAACCCCAACCTGTATAATTTATGTACAATACAACACAAATAAAAAAAATAAATTAACTTATTTAGTCACGTCATTTACACGCGCATAATGCATTTTTCAAGTAAATACGAAAGAAATGTTTATAAAATAATTACATTATGTAAAGAGGTTCGTACAAGTATGGTATGTACCAGTACAATCCAGTAAGTAAGTAGTTGAAAAAATACATATGTAGATCTCATAGTCTGTGAAGAAAGCGATATATTTAAAGTTTGTGCACGAAATGACATTAAAGTAATTTTTCCATAGAGGGAAAATTACACAAAATAAGTATTCAAGAGCGAAACTCGTATCAGAATCTGAATAACGAAAAAATTCTACAAACTATTTATGTTTCTGTCATATATCGTCGTTTTGTTAGTTATCTACTCTCAGTAAAAACTATCACATTTCAAATAGCCTTTACGATATTCCGCTGGTTCTATACTTTTGCGTCACGCTGTATATTTTTCTAAAACTAAAATTAATTAAATAGAAAAGGCATATGGTTGCATTTCGGACATGTGTTTGCTTAAAAATAACTAAATAAAAGCAAATGTTGTTAGTACGTAAACCACACATTACCGATTTGAATTTCCGTTTCAGTTTTTTCACTGGATACTTGCGAAATGTAAACAAATTTCCGGAGAATACCTAATCCGTCGATATTATGTGTCATATCATCATGAATCTTTTATGTAGTTGTATTTATTTCACGAACGAATTTTTTTTTCTTTTGATTAAAGGGATACGTAAACATTGATTTATGGTGGAAATTTTTTGTTCGGGACAATTAAGTCTTTAATAGTTTTTTAATGATATAATCAAGAAGAATTACTATTTATTTTATTAAAGACAAAATAAGAGCCCTGAATTAAACTACTTGTTACAAAAGAGTGAAGAATAATTTGCAATATGAGCTTAAAATTTACAAATGTCGCTTTGTTATTAAAGTAAATGAGTTAATCGAGTTTTATAAAAATTTCTGTATACAAAACTTATTTTCTGTGTATAACACGGTAGTATTGTGGGTTGCGTATCACTCTATGTACATTAAAATTTCAAAAATTGTATTCAAAGTTCCGAATCACTCAGCGATTTCTTTTCGTTTACATCATGGTATCGAAAGTTTTAATGAAGGGATTATTTATTTATAATTTGATTAACTTGTCTACCTCTATAAGTTTATTAATTAAATGGTTGAACGTCTTGGTGGAAAATGGTGGAAATGATCAGTTGAAGTATATTATGAATCCTTAGAAAAAATTAAAAGGTGAATGCTTTAAAAACAGCAAATCTTTGGTATAGTTGGGATAACATTACTGACGATAAAAATAACGAAATAAAATATCCAAAAAAAACTGGTGATGATCGCAATATACCTATTAAAACCTTTTTGGAAAAATTATAAAGATGATATTACTCAACTTCAGGGTATAAAAACATAGCGTCTACGTATGTCAAAGATGAAAACCAAAATTTATGGTGTCGATGTAAAAACTTCGTCAATTCCAGTTTTTGTTGATGAAAAGAAAATTTAGCAAAGCATCTGACATAACGGAGTTTCTGTCTGCAAGTAAAAAGTGAAAAAAATACCAATTCCTGAACTTACGCTAATTTCAGTGGCAAACTCGAGTATTGGAATGGATGGAGGAATCATAATAGTGCCAAAATCCAGAATCTTTAAAGTCGAAACGAACAACGACAATAACCACGTGATCGTAAAATTAAAAAGACCGATCCCAATGATCTATTCCTTCATATTTTTTGATTTTCTGGATAGTCGTAAAAAAAAGATTTTTTGGATTCGATAGAAGAAATCGAAAACAATGAGAGCTGAGACAACTAAAAACAATGCAATTGTTTTTTTTATAATTGTTTAATTTTTGCAGTGATGGAAGTGGAAAAGGATAAAATACTGCGCCAAATAAAGATACTGACGCAACAGCTTCACTCATGATTAAATTTGACACTTTCCTTTTCTTGTCTAACGAATCTTTAGTGAAAGTTTCAGCCACTGAAGATGAGCGCGTCCGACCACTCAGGCGTTTCAAAGATGTACGCCGGAAGCAATGCCCGGTGTAGATCTATGGGTTAGGCAGTTTTAAAATCAGTGGTTATTACCAAAATTGTGTATACCAACTCCTTCTGATTTGGATAAGATATGAAAAAATAATCATGTGGTATAAGTCGGGAACGAAAAAAAGAGCATACTTATTAGATAATTCTAAAAGGCTGACAGCTTCGGGCTCCGAGATTCATTTTCATTTAAAAAAATATTAATCACTTGTATCCTCAAATATATGTTTTTTGTAACCGACTTCACCTCGATACCTCCTTGGATTTTTTTGGTTTGTATTCTACTGACGATTACGTTTTAAAAATAATAATCATTATTATTAAAGAAGAGGGTTCGAACGAGAAAACAATCTATAATGTTCAACATGAGGGGATGGTTGAAGGTAGGTTATTCCAGGAATCGAAAACACGATTAGTTAAAAACCCTTGGCGACATTTTCTTCAATATGATTCTTTCAAGAGTTTATAACTATTGGGACGAAGTCGGGTAGAAGTATTGAACGAAAGGAGAGGTTTCAACTTACAAGTAAATATGTAATTTATGAACAATACGATATACATAATAATCAAGTCACCTCGCGCACATCTCCGATCAAAGGTGGTTAAGGGGACTCGCTAGACGAGGTATAACATTTTTTTGGTTTTATGTATGAAAAAATGATATTAATATAGATGTATCATACATCAAACTACAGCTTTTTTCATATTCTAGAGCGCAGAGACCAGTTCAATCAATTAAAAAAATATGGCTGAGAAATATCGTAAAAAAGCACCATTGTATGTTTTCATTTCAAGTTTCAACCATCATAGAATCGCTTGAAAATTCGCACATGGATAAAACATCACTTTTTACAGGGCACAGAGTCATTAAATGTTTGTTAGTGGTACAATTTGTTTAAATAATAATGTGTTTATTAAAATCAAAATATACCACAAATTAATGTAAAATACGTCGAATAATTTTAACAGGAATATCAGAGGAAAATTAATGATTTATTGGTTAGCAGAGTTTTTAACAAAAACTAACAATTATTGAAAAAAATGGGTATCAATTCGACAGAATTTGAGCAGTTAGTTCAGTACTTTGCCGATAGGAGCACCACTAAAATTTACGGAAGCCACTTTCCAGGTAAAACCCTTATCGCCTGCTTTACCATAAGCTGATTGTTAGAGTTCTCGGCTGATTTTTCTAATTTATGGCAAGGAACTCAGTTTTATAACAAGCCGCCAGGACTGGGGGTAGTAATCTATTGTTAAGGAAATTAACTTTTACGCAATGAGGTACTGTCATAAAACCGAATTAAAACTGGGGAACTATAATATTTTTACTCCACTCAGGATCCTGAATTCAATACACATGATTACTAAAAATTCATTGTAATATTGTTGTTAATATATATTTTGCTTTCTTAATTAATAAAACTTATAAACATATTTATAATAATAATAAAAAATAAAATACAGCTTTTGTTTAACACGTATAAGTTGCTAAGTGTATCTACTACTTATCCCAGAAAGGAGGTGTTTTAAAAAAGCCCTATGCCCAGTAACTTCTCCTTTCATTGTTTACTCGAAAAAAGTGCTCGTATATGTTTTCATTTGCCGAGAGATCATTTTCAAAATATATTTATAATAAAAATATGCAAGTCTTGGTGATGAAAAATGTACTCCTAATAAATTATTAAAGTACATAAAAAAATAGAAACAAATTTTATTTATTTTAAAAAAATCTCTCGCAAAGGCAGGTTCCTCTTTCTTCTTGAATCAATTATTTCGGGCAATAAAGCGCCAAAGCAAAATCTGCCAAGTTTATCTGCCATCTTTTTACATATATTTCTTCGTCTTTATAAATTTTTTCTATATTTCTTCCTTTGGGTGTCCATACCACAAAATAAACTTGTGAAATACCCGTAACAAGCATTTGTCCCTGGACTTGAAAGTAGTAGTCATGATTCTTTTTTTAGTTTCAATTATCTGTCTGTCAGTGTACAAAATTTGATTATTTTTTTTCTAACCGCTTCTTCGGGAGACAAATCTTGCAATTTTGAAGGGCATTTAATTTCGACTAATGCACTCCTATCCTCTAGAACCCTGTCTGGACTAGCAGCCAAGTAAGGAAATTGTTTTGAAATACACAAGCCACA